TTTTGATAAATTATTGTGTTGGTATCATATGCTTTTGTTATATTTCATACAAAAAAAATTTTTTGCACTCTTGCTAGTGATTCATTCACGAGGTTTTGCAATATTTTAAATAAAAATTTCAAGACTTACATGATTGTTGCATTAGAATTATCACTCTTAGAATAAACATTTTTCTACTTGTAAAACAACTGCTTGATATCAAGGAAGCTTACATTTGAGTATTAGGAAAGAGCATGTTTCATGGAAGAAGTTGTTAATAAAAAAGGATGCAACATTCATCCAATATAGGGAAGTTACGTCGAGATTCGACAAACCTATAGACTCCTTTTGGTCAGGAAGATTATCTTAAAAGCATACAGCCAAGGGCAAGTTATGAAAGTAATCTTGATCAGTACGGTAAACTTGGGACACTAAAGTTATTTCAAGGGAATTTCCAGATTTTTGTCAAGATAGTTACTATGTTCTTCCCCAATCTGAGGATCTTCCTCAAGCAAGATTGTTTCTCATGATCTGCCTTGTAGAGGAATGCACGGTTCCCTCTATAATAGTTGACCAATTAGTGGGTTTCCTCCAGGCTGTGGTGTGGTGTTTGGGTTTATGATCCCATTTTCCCTAGTTAGGTCTTGGTGCAGATTCTTCTCTAAGTTGTTATTTTTTGTTGGGTTTGTAATCCCATTCTCCCCAATTAAGTCTTATTCAGATTTCCCCGGCTGAGTGCGGTTTCTTTCTACAGTCAAGTGGTGATCAAGCAAAGACTGCAAAGTGTTAAAGAATTTTCTTAGTTGTTGGATTCCTTCTCCATTTGTGTTGAGAAGTGATGTAGAATCTCTTTCAGAGTATTACTCTCCCTGGTTATGACATTGTTGTTATTGTATGCCTCCAAGTAGCCAGACAAGGGCAGTGTGTCTTCTAAGAATCAATGAGATCGATGTCAACTTCTTAGGTTTTCTCTCTCCATGTGCTAAGTTTGATTTAAAATCCCCGTAATCCTACCTCTTGCTGTGATGATAACTTCTTAATTCTCCAGATGAGTCGAGGATAACGCTTTCCTCTAAAGTTATTATCCCATGAAATTTCATGATTTCTCTCTAAAGAAGTTTGCGCAACTATTATTCTTGATATTGAAGACTGTATTTGGGCTCTCTTTGGTGTGTGTGATTTCATTTTCCCCAATGAAGTCAGCACATAATCCCCAGTTAAAGTCTCGATGATGTAGTTTTCATCCTCCCTAGTGAAGTCAGTTTTGGAATCTCCAATTGAAGTCTAGATGATAATGCATTGCCTTCCCCGGTCGAAGTCTGTATGACATTCCCCGATGAAACCTAGAGGAGTTAATTATATCCTTGTAACTTTATTTGTTGCTAGTCAGGTGGTGCTTTGATTGTTTTCAAGTCATGTTCTTCCCAGTGAAGTTAAGCCGTGAAGTAGGACTTTGTTTCCTCAGTGGGTTCTTACTCTCTTATGGAACCTTCATCCTGGATGTGATTTGACCGGGTGTTGACTTTACCCAAGTTGGTTTTTTCTGGTTATCCCCGATACAATATAGTTGTTTTGTCAGCATATACATGATAACATTCATACATTCATATACATCATGCATAGCTGAATTTAAAATTCATTACTCATTTGCATTCATTGATGTTTTGTTAGCATATCATTCTCTTTGTAGAGTTAGGTTTTATTCTTATCCTTTCCATGTGGAATACCTTGGTAAGAGAAGGAGTTGAAACCCGTTCTAAGTAGAACACCGGTATTTTAGGAAACTCATTATTGTTAATGCAGATTCTACCTTCAATAAACGTTGGTGCATCTGTTATCTCTACCTTCAGTGAAAGTTGGTAGTTCACCTTCAATAAACGTTGGTGTATCTTTTGAATCTCTACCTTCAGTGAAAGTCAGTAGTTTACCTTCAGTAAACGTAGATGTATCTTTTGTTTCTTTACCTTCAATAAAAGTCGGTATTGTTCTATTTATCTACCTTCACCTTTGAGTTGGTAGTTCATCACCGCTTTTAGTCGGAATTTATATTTTTCTCCTCATTGGACCTTACTCCGATAGAGTTGCGTTGTTCTCGATCATATGTGTTGATGTCAAGCCTTGTTTCTAGCCATAAGTGCTAACGTCAAATCTTTTTTACCAGTCATAAGTACTGATACCGGTCACTCATTTACTAGTCTCGATGTTGATGTTTACCGTCATCTCTGAGCCGATATTATCTTACCGTTTTTATTTGTGCCCTTCGGGTTAGTAGTTACCGATCCCCTGTGAGTTGATGTTACTCTCTTTTTATTATCTCCTCTATGAGAGGATAGTTCACAGTTATCAATTAAAATTGTTATCCATTACTTGTTACTCAATTATTGAGTTGATGTTATTTTTGTCTCCTCTCTAGACTTTACTCTAATAAAGTTGAGTCTTCTTTTCCCCAGCGGAGTTTATTTGTCTCCAATGGATTCAAATTTTTATCCCCAGAGTCGTGTTGTTCTCCAGAGATTTATTTTCCTGGTCGAACTCTTTTTGTTAGTCTATTGATTTTAGTTTTGCTTCTCTAGTTTGTCTTGTTCACCTGCACGAAGTTTATATTTACATCCATGAACATAAGCATCGCATGGCATCTTAGGGCCAAAAATAGGGCTAGTTTTATATTAAGTATCTTCAATCACGTCGAGATGAAGATTTTAACCTCCGTATCTCCGGATAGAAGACACTTAGATAAGGGCAACTATTATACCCCAATTTTTGCCCCTAAGATCCCTCTACACATTATATACATCTCATGTATATCATCGGTTCCATGGTTACGGGATCAAAGGGCTCTTGGCATTAGGGTTTTTTCCCTATGAATTAAGGTTTCTACCTTACTCAAAGTTGATTCAATGTGTGCTCTCATCATTCTTGGTATAAAACTAGGGTTTTGGATCACAAACATCATAGACGTCTTCCCTGGAAAAATTCCTCAAGATACAAAGTTACCTTCATCAATATTTTTCAAAGAGCAATAATTTGGGTTTTCCCTAAGTGCCTTCTCCACTAGACATTCTTTTTAATAAGTCTAGAGGACTGAATCAAGGACTTCTTTCTTGTGATGTTATTTGTTAAATGGCTAAGGATTGATTGAAGATTTCATCAAATCAAGATGATTCTTGATGCTTAAGCTATGAATCGAGGTAGGATTATTCTTGAATTTTGATTAAGTTGAAGATTTGAATTAAGGGTTCGTTGAAGTTGATGTGAAGATTCGTTCAAGAAATGTCATTAAGTCTGGATTAATTCAATAAAATTCGTATAATGGTTTGTAAGGAATTCAAAGTTTATGATTCGAATATCATTCAATGTCAATGCAAATTCAAGCCCGTTATATGAGAATTCCTTTTAAGGAGAATTACTTAAAATTTAAGACACTTATCATTCATTCCAATTCCATTCAAATTCCTTTCAGGTGACTATTTTGGCGCAATTTGCCAAGTGGATTTACATTTTAAAGATGGAAGACTTCTCATGACTTAATTCAAGTATCATCCTAGTATTGATCGAAACCCTTCATTGTCCAAATTCACTATTGAATTGTCAAAAATATGATCCCATTTAAACTTCATGGTTTATTCTATATTGCAAAATCAGAGAAAATGTTTCAAATTTCAAATTGCAAATTAGAGGAAGTTTTGTTCATTAATATCCTCAAGTCATTACAAGTTGAAATGCTAAAAAAAAGAGAGAATGAATTGACAAATAAAGTCCAAATATCATCCAAGATTACATTAAGGCGCAATTGCAAATGTTACAAAAAAAATTCCAAGCAATACAAGAAAAAAAACATATCCATACATGAGCTTGAAAATATACGCACAAAGTTTGATTCAAATTAATGCCACTGCCTTGTTTTAATTTTCCACAATTCTGCCCAAACGTAAACCAGAATATCAGTTCAGGCGCGAACAAAAACGGGTCACTACTTTGTGCCTTGTACCCGTCGAAGTCAACAATTCATGTATATGGTTCTTTGCCTCAATTTAGAACCAAACTAAGCATACATGTTTTAAAAAAATAATAGAAAATAGAGGAAATTCAAACTCTTTTGTATGTGGGCTAAGATTTGCAAATCTTGGAGGGAAGCTTGCAATTGGATATGAACATGGGTAGGTGGCCATGCTTGACACCATTACATCATCAGTTATGTTTCTCACAAGTGTTTAATCTGACACACCTTCAGCAGTAGTTTCTCTGAAAGTAAAATTTTCAAATACTTTCATCTTAAGCATTCCAGAGGAATTTGTATATGAGATATCTGAAAACTCTAGAAAGGGGCTAGTCTTTGTTACGACAAGGGATGCCCACTTTGTTCCCCTAGATACAGAGACAAGGAATACGGTTTGTAATAGGTCAATAAACCCAAAAGTGAAGTCAAATGAAATTTCAATTCACATTATAGATGGTACTTTTGAACTGTCTGTTGAAAAACTGTAAACTCGGTCGCCTCAAAAGAATGGTTCTAAAATGCAAGCTAACTGCAAAATCTTGAAGGAAAACCTGTCTGAAAACATCACAAAAAAACTGCATAATATCGCCACAGAATTCAGGAAATAGAAAATAGCATAACAAAGAGGCAAAAATAGTTTAGCCTATAACAGGAAAATAGAATTTCGTCAAGCGCCTAACCGATTCTCCCAGCTCATCTAACGTACCATAACAAACTTCTATAACTTCCTATAATAGAAAAAAAAAAGATAGAATTACCAATTCCTCTAACTTCCCTAACAACATAATCGATTTTTAACTAACTCATAACATAATTCTAACTAACTTTTCACAGTCATAACAGAAATAGAAAATAGAGTTCAGATCACAATAGGGAGGAGGGATTCCTCAATAGTTTATAACCAATATAGGGGGATTCAATATAAAACAATAAAAAAATTACAGGGAGGAACTCACCATAAATTTCTCATCTCTCTCTCTCTGACTCATCTTCATTCTCTTCTACATCTCAGTATCACCTTCTTTCAATCTACCTCCTCAACAACACTTTCATCACTGCCATCAACTTTGTATAACCGTGCTTCATTCACCATATCTAAAAGCTTCAACAGTCTGTAATCGTCAATCTCTTCCTGCATCAAGATCAGAGCATTTCAGCATCATCAATCATCGACATAGAGCTTCAATCATCCTTCACAAAATTCTACAACAACGATGATAACCAGTTCAGAAATGAGAATGTAAAGAAGAAATTAACAAAGAAGAAGAGTGAATCTGATTGTTATCGTACCTAGAGTGAGAGTCATATGATGTTCTGTCTTTTTTTGTTATTGTCGAAGACGCTCCGTACGTTCTACCGTCGGTAAGGCTTCGATCTCTGGTAACCTTGTTTTGCCGAAGCTTACGCAAGAACCTTAAAGATGCGACAGAATTATGTTTCATCGAAGCGTTGTCGCCGTTTGAATCTGATGAAAATTTGACGCCACCATGAGAGAGATGATGAGCGGAAATACAATGGAGAAGCCAATTGAAGTATACAACAGAAAATTTTGTTTGATCGGAGAAGGTTGAGTAAGGGATGCGCCACATGGAAGGGAACAAACTCTTGAGAGCTATACGGAGAATCACAAGTTAAGCCCTAATTTTTTCTCTTAATCTTTGTATATTATTTTAATTAAAAGAAGATGAATAACAAGAATAACTAAGTTGAAATTGGGCCACTGTGTTATGATAATGATGGACCGAGACTTTCCTAATTTGAGTCTAATGCGCAATTTTTTTCTTTCTTTTTTGGGCATTCTGATATTGGTAAAACATAATAATGGTTGGACTGGGTTGATGGGGCTAGCACCCAGGTGTCTATTTTATGGAGTACATCACTGTCTGTAGAAGAACACCCCCCTGACTCTTCTAATTTCTTGTTTTTTAGCTTTTCTTTTAGTTTGAATTTCTTCCAATTTTATTAATAAAAAATAGTGATAAAAAATACATATAATGAAACCATAAAAAAATATGTAGAATTTAGGAATTCTTAATTTTTTTTAGATACAAACTACAAAATTAATAAAAAAAATTTAGGCTTTTTATTTTATTTTAGGAAATTAATTCATAATCTTTCGATTACTTGAGAGTTTTGATTCACTTTTTCTTGTTGAGTTGAGTCTTATGCAGGTTCATTGTTTGATATGTGGACATGTTTGAATTTTCGATTGTGATTTATTTTCACATCGATGATGCTTTGACACTATTTCCGAGCATTCGATCTCTGACTGTTTGTTTGTTGATTCCAGCTCGCATGAAGTATTTAGGGTTTCTTTGCCTTGATTGCACTTTTTGTGGACATTATTGTTTATTTGGTATTATACTGCTTCCATTTTATCTTTCCGCATTTTATTGCTTTATAGATATCATGAGAAGTAGGAAATAAAGAACGTGCGCTCGAAGTCACTGTTTAAAGAAAAGTAGCAGGCATTTCTCACTTGTTTGCTAACTGTGTTGGTGTTTGTCTTCATGGGTTGAAGATCAATGATGTCACTCAATTAGTATTTAGATAACGACTTCGATCTTTTGCATGCTCCCCTTAGGATTTTTACTTTCCTTTGTGTATGATTGATGATGTCACTCAATTAGAATTGAGATAACAACTTCGATCTTTTGCATGCTCCCCTTAGGATTTTTACTTTCCTTTGTTGATGATCGATGATGTTACTCAATTAGAATTGAGATGACAAATTCGATCTTTTGCATGCTCCCCTTGGGATTTTTTCTTTCAATTGTTGACGATCGATGATGTCACTAAATTAGAATTGAGATAACGACTTCGATCTTTGCATGTTCCCCTAAGGTTTCTTGATTAGGGTAGCCTTCGAGTTAGACATTAGGATAGTTATCCACGCATGCTAACATTAGGTTAGATATAGGTTAATCTACCTTAGATGTTTCCTTCCGGTTTTGCATAATTGCATTTAAAAGTAAAACTTCTTTTTCTTGGAAAATGTATAAAACATGCTAAACATACAAAATATCCTTTTCATGCTAAAAAATACAAACCAATCCATTTATTTTCTCCATTCGGCTTTTCTCTTCTAAGAGTGTGTTGATTCCTTTCCACTACAGTGCGTGAGTCAGCAATTGTCAAGCGGCGGTGGAATGATTGAGTTCAGCATTGTGTATTTAAAAATACAAACAAATAGAAGTTTGTGAGCCGAACTACGACGGTATGATTCCTAAAAAGGGATATGTAGGCATCTGGTCACGGGGCTCAGCCGAGGGAAAATTTGTAAATATTTCCTTCTTTTCCCCGTGTTTTCTTTGCATGCATTCCCTCTTATCTTTTTTTATCTTTTAAGAATTAGATTGAAGACACCCTTTTATTAGAACAACAAAAGTGAACCCGTAGAGTACTACGAACGTGAGGGGTGCTAATATCTTCCCCTCGCGTAATCGACTCCCGTACCCGATCTCCCGGTCGCAAGTCCTTGATTTCTCCCTTTAGGTTTTCTTCGATGATTTTCCTTTCACTTTATATGGGATAAATAAATACTCAGTGGCGACTTTATTGATTTTACCGCTACAGAAGATGGCGACTTCACTGGGGAAGAACATGTTGACCAATTGCTGGTCCATACCGTGAGTCACTCCTAGCTCCCATTTATCTTTTTCTTTGGGTGTTTATCTTTATGCTTTTATATTTTATTCATTTATATATAATTGAGCATATGTATGCGCTGCATTTTATCGCTTTCCATATAATGGTTATTATTGTTGTATTGGATTTGCTGGTTTTTCAGATTGGGTGGGATGCTAATATTGAGGTAAAAGGCCCAATACCCAGGCCAAGTGACAAACATAGAAACCCTAGGAATAGATTGGAACATGAACGGCTAGTTTACTTAGGTTTCACTATTGCTGTCACGTCAAACACGGTCAGATGTGGTACAAATGAGGGTCTACCGTTTTCACTTAGGTGATATGACAATAGTTTTTCAGGAGTACCCTCGATTCTGAGTTACCTGACCTTACCCTGGCCTAGTCTTTACCCGTGAGTATGGAGGGAATAATCTTTACAGGTATAAATGGTGACTATGTTATGTTGGTGACTTTGGTTCTTGGCATTATGAATTGGTTCGTGTGATACGGTGGGAGAACTGACTTGGGTTTTGCGTTTGTTTTCGCAAATGTTTGGGTTGAGCAAGAGTCGCCACCGACTTTTTATTTTATCCTAAGGAAAGGTTAAAAAGCACAACAAAAACCTTTGAGATGTTTTCTTGGGTTCGGGGAGTAGATTATAGAAAGGGAAGGTATTAGCACCCTTTCTATCCATGGTTATCCATGGGATCTTAGTTACTTGCTTAGATCAACTTTCCTTGATTTTCAATTGTTTGAAATGGTGCTTTCAATTGTTTGAAATGGTGCTTTGTGTGTGTGTTTTGAAAATGTTTTGAAAAGAGGCCAATGTGGTGGCAACCTTTGTAATGATCCATATTGGGATGTATACAAAGATGTATGTCTTTTGAAAAGTTTTCAATGTTTTTGAAAGTTGTTTTGAAAATGTTGTGATGTGTGGTTTTGAAAAATAGGCAAGTGTTTTTGTTTTGCAAGTTGGCAAGTAACCAAGAGCTATCTACCCTAAATTTCTCAAAGATCTTTGCTATGTTTTAACCCTTTTAACAATTTTGTTCCACCATTGTATTTGGTGGACAATCTTGTGTTAGGATGTGAACGGGACGGGCGCGGGTCATCGTTTAGACCATGATTGCAATAGTGCCAAGTATCTTTGGCAACTTTTCCTTTAAGGGACTTGATCATTTTTAGGCAACTTTTGAAAGCGTCATCGAGGGACTATGATCATTTGATTGTTTTGTTTTTTTGCCAAAGATACCTAACATGCAATATGGCCCATTATTTGAAGGCAACAAGTGGAGTACCCTAGGGGTGCAAGTGTGATTAGTGTTGTCCATTTTCATGCTTGTTTATCTTGAAATTAGGTCAAACTATTTTTGGTTAATTTTGCATACAAAACCCTAATTCTATCATGGTATCATTAGAAAGCTTTTAAATGTGAGAAATAAAAGGTCCTAAGTTATTACAACACAATATATGGGATGGGGGGTACAAATGTTCAAATGGGGATATTTTAGCAAGAAATTAAACCTAAACTATTACATCCAAATTGAATTATACAAATTATTTAATATACAACAATTAAATAAAAATATAACAAATGTGCAAGATGCAAAAAATGGTTTTTTATATGTATGAAAAAAAAATATTTTTTATGTGTCAAATAAACAAAAATAAAATTAATTATTTTTTGGTATTTTTATGCATTTAGGGTAAAACCCTAATTTTATAAATAAAAGGTATTAATTATTTAATATATGTAATATTTATTAATTATATATAAAAATAAATAAAAGAAGGTATATTGTAAAAAAAAGTATTTTTGAGGTCAAAATATTAATAAAAATAAAATGTATTAATTCTTTGTATTTTCCCTAAATATACTAATAAATATATAAGTATTTTACACTATTTATTAAATATATATTATATGTACAAAAATAAAATATTTAATATTATAAAAAATATATATTTATTATAAAATGTTTTCAAGAGATAACATAAAATAAAAATCAGAAATAAAATATGTTTGTATTATTTTTTGTATTTTAAAATAAAAGTATACTTATGTTTATTTATATACAAAACTAAATAAAGCCAAATAAATATCAAATAAAATGCAAAAAATGTGGGAAAAATAAATTTAATATTTTTTCATGCTTAAATAAAAATATGGAAACAAATTCAAAAGGAAAAAATGGAAAATAACAAGTAAAACTCAAAATGGGCCAGGGGGGTGCATGTGAAATGCAGTGGTGTGAAAAGGAAAAAACAAATCTCAGGCCCAGCCCAAGACTCTGTCTTCTTCAACCTCCAGCATCTTTGTACAAAACACGCGCTTCTGCTATCTCAAGATTCTTGGACTTTTAGCACAAACTCACAACATGAAAAATGTTAAGCATCAAGCCACGATTCCATACATATAAAAAACTTAACCTAACTCTCAGAAATGAGAGAGAATTTCTCCATCCCTAATTCTTAACCTAAGTTTTTGTCAATGTTCAGGTCTCAAATTCTCTCAGCACATGCAACATAAATGGAAAGTAAAGATATGTATAGCTTCAGGGGCATGAGTAGAACATTTTTCGTTCACAAACTTAGACTAACTCTTCCTATATTGAGAGATAGAAGTCCATGAACTTACCTGTTCAGCTTGGATCGTGTCTGATAATGGAGGCACTTTTAAGGCAAAGTGAGGATTGGTAGAGCTTGCTTGAGGTCCAGGGATGCTATTCCAACCATTAACTTGCTTTGAAACCAAGTGAATCCAGCTATGGCAATCAACCTGCAAAACAGAAAAAATGAAAATGGTGAAGTGGGTTAGAGGTGTTACAGGTCGTGTCCAATGCTTGGGATAGCTTGTATAAGTGGTATGGAATGTGTATGAACTGGATTTAGCAAGAATGCACGAATGGATTGGCTTATGGAAGTCCAACTGCAGAGGTCACTCTGTTTTCTGCAGTGGG